GAAGGAAGTGTGGGGATTGTGTGGTATGATTTTGGACGGGTTTGGACAAACTTGCGAACTGTCCGGAAACTATAAAATCGATATTCGACGAGTTCTGGCCGGATTCGAGGAAAAGCAAATACAGGACTGGAAAGAGGTGAAAGAGGGGAGTTGATGGTGTTAATTGGGTGACCGTTGGTGTAGTTGAAGTTCACCGCCGGCGAGGGATTTGGGGGCGGCATGGATTAGGGTTTGTGAGGGTGAATGAGACGATACAAATGGGGTAGGGGGCGTTTCGGACATTTATATACAAAACATCCTAGTTAGATCCGGACCGTTGGATTGATGAGATCCAACGGTCGTGATTGAGGGTTGGGGAAACGACGTCGTTTCATTGACTGGGAGGAGGACCGGGTAAGGGATTGGGCCTGGGTGGTTTGGTCGGTGGAAATGGGTATTGGGCTAAGGGAATTGGATCAAAATGGCCCAGATTGGTCTTTTGAAGGGCCACCCCTTTTAAACTCTTATTTTTCTTTCTCTTTTATTTCTTTTATCCATTTTGTATTTTGTTTTCCACTTTGTGTTTCATATATATACCTATATATATGTTTTCTGATTTTATAAAAAGGCAAAAATTAAAATGAATTCCCAACATATTTCAAAATTAAACTAATTAATTCCTAAAACTATTTTAAAAACGACTCCAGGATGAATTCGCGATTAAACAATTAAAAATGCAAAAATGGACTCTTTTTGTTATTTTCCATATATTTTGTTCTAAAACCCCTAATTAATCTTAAAATAAGAAGTTAAATCCTAAAAGCAAATGCCAATTGTATTTTTGTATTTTCATATAAATTAAAAAAATAAACAAATGGAAATGCAACCAATTGAAACAAAATTCACAAAATTATGAGGAAAATCTTTTTTATTTGACTTTTGGGCATAATTCATATATAGGGCAAAAATCACGTGCTCACAACTATAATATAGAGTCAATCTTTTCCTCGATTCGGGATTTGAACTAGTGACTTGGGACACCATACAACTATCCCAAGTGGCGACTCTGAATTTTAAAGAAAATAATCCCGTTTCGATTGTCACTTTAAGTTGAAAAAAAACTCCCTTATATACCCCTTCTCGGGGGGTAGGTAAAAAGGAGGTGTGACAGCTATGGTGACTCTGCTTGGGACCGAACCCAGAATCTCTGGTTCAGGGTTCAGAATTCGAGCTAAGATGAATTGTTATATTTGGTTTTATCTGTTATCTGATTTTTATTGCATGTTTGGGCCTAATGTGCTAAATGTTACTTTTATCGCTTTGATATTATCTGATTTGTATATAAACTGCTACGAAACTCTTCTCTTCTCATCTTCGGGGATGTGCTCGCTGGTCGAGACTCCTTATTCTGTTAGTGTCATACCTTGAAATAAGAAAGAGTCTCGGACAAGTTACTAAGCCGGATGGCCTTTTGGTTCCCGGTACGTAGCCCCCTCCTCGGCTCGAGTTGTCCGCTCGGGTACACAGTCTAGAACACATACCCAGGTTTTGAACTTAGAATAACTCAGCCTCATGTCGGATCCCTAGTAGGAACGTTTGTTTGCATCATGTGCATTTGACTTTGGAGACTTAACACAGGGGTTGGGTCTGTCTAGGATAGGTGTAACCGAAATGAAAAGACCATCCTGATGCATCTTACTTGCTACTTGTGCATTCAGTTGCTTCGGATTTGCATGTTGACCGGCTTGTAGGGGAAAACTTAGGGAAAGTCAATGAGAAAGCTGAGAGGGATAATTTCCTATTTTGAAAAACCGATGTCCAAAATATACTGAAACTCTGCCGAAATTTGAAAATAAAATTTGTTTCGCTTTGGAAAAAAAAGAAGAAAAAGAAGAAAAAAATGAGTTGGTTTTTGTTTTGTCAAAATTGCCCGAACTACGCCAGTTTGATTCTCACCAGATGTGGGATACGTAGGCAACCCCCATCGGGTCCAACTTTCCTTTTTGCAAAAATAGCCCAAAAAGAACCAAAATTTTATTGTCTTTGTGGTGAATAAGTAAGGCGATGCCATTCTTGTCAAAATTAGTTGAATGTCCCTAAAAGGACGCCTGAAGGCTGTTTTTGCAAGAACAACCACCTTTGGTCTCTTTTTCGAATTTTGGGCCGGTTAGCAAGCACAGCCTTAAAATCTTCTCCCTGGAAGTGCTGAAAGGCCGTATTTGCAAAGCCGGGTTTTATTTATGAAATGTCAATTTGAAAAAAAATTAACTTTTCTTGAGCCAAATGAGTCATGATTTTGCTTAATCACCTTAATAAATGTGCAGAATGAGCACGAGTCATAATTTGCTAATAACAGTCATGAACAAAATCCCTTTGCAGCTGTATATGTGGTGGGATGATCTGGGTAAATCAGGGCAAGATATGGTCAATCAATATTTGGGAGGTCTCACCGGGTTATTGAAGATTAGTCCTAGAGAAGACATCATAAAGGCGTTGGTTACATTCTGGGACCCGACCCACAACGTGTTTCATTTCTCAGATTTTGAACTCACCCCAACTTGGGAAGAAATAGCCGGATATATTGGGAACGCCGAGGTTCCTCTAAGACATAAGTATCTGGTTGCTCCAAGAGTCATCACTGTTCACAGATTCCTTGAAGATAAGTAGGGGGTCCACAGCCCAGATTTGGCCGCGGGATTTTACACTCTGCAGTTTATATACCAGAGATCCGGCCACATAGGAGTATTTAACAATCCAGAAAATAAAATTTGTAGCAAAGGGAACCATCTCAAATGGGAAGAACACAGGTGTTTTGCTTTTATGGTGGTCTTTTTGGGACTTCTGGTGTTTCCTAGGAAAGATGGAAATATCGATATACGGATAGCTGGGGTCGTCAGCACTTTGCTTACTCAAGCCAAAAGCACCCTCGCACCCATGATAGTAGCTGAAATCTTCCGCGCTCTCAAGAAAAGCAGATGTGGATGATCGAACATCTATGTCATCGCCCTCAATTCATGAGTTATGGGTTGACAGAGAAAACCTGCATAGAGGAATTTTTTACAAGGGTTGATGGGATCAGCTTGCCAGAAAGGGTCACAGAATGGGTATCACACTTCCTTTCCATCACTGCAAACCAAATAGAGTGGACATTTGGATGGTTTCCTGTAGATGAGATCATATACATGCTAGCTACCAGGCCTTATTTCCTCTTAATGGGTCTCAGGAGTATCCAGCCTTATGCCCCATACCGGGTTTTGAGACAGTTGGGGAGATGCCAAATAGTTCTAAAAGATGAAGATCTTAGTGCTCATGTAGTCGAGATTGGTCCTGATGGTCAGTTTCATGAAGCAGCAGTCCGCCAGATTTGGAGCGAGTGTCAATACTTGACGGCAAATACCTGTGTATGTGATCGATCCAAAGGTGAAGTTTTCCTAGGGTACCTTGCTTGGTATAAAAGGGAAATTGAGTTTGGGAGGCCAGCCAAAAGACCCCATCTTCAGGAATTTGTCGAGGCATCACAAGAACAGTGGGCTTGGTTGGCCAAGGAGAATGAGTACAGGGTTACCATAAGCAAGCTAGAGAAGAAAGTCAAGGATCTTCAATTCGAGAATGGTTTGCAAGCCGCGGAGGATGAGGGTGAAAAGAAAAAGCTAGCCAAAGAAAATGAGGCCCTTCGAGCCCAGATTCGAGAAATGAAACAGCAACTGAAAATCCCGCCAAAAGTGAAAAAGATGAAAAACATATAAAGAACCTTAGGCAGAAGGTGAGTGTGTATGGCTTCGATTTGAACAAAGCAGAGGGTGAACTAGCCAGGTCTCGAACAAAATTGGCTAAGAATGTAGAAGAACGAGTGCGCCTGGTTAGACAGTTAAAAGAGAAATACGGCAATGAGGTTATGGGGTTGAAGAAAAGGGTCATCATCTTTGAGAACAAAATCATCAAGCAGGCAAAAGACTTTAAAGCAGAAAGGGAACATTGTTATGCAGCGATGGCACAGTTAGAAAGAGATTTGCAACAACTTCAAGAACAGAATCATGTAGCCGAACAAACTTTTGAAGCCAAGGCCCAGCAGATTGGGCATTTGTTGCAAGAAAAGGGAGTCATAAGAGAGAGAGTCAGAAGGATCGCTGACTACATCGCTATGAAGTGTAGTAGTTTTGAGGATATGACTAGATCCATGTTCTTTGCCACCGTGATGCCCTTTGTCCGCCAGATAATGGAAGATCTCTATCACCTCCAAGGGGATCTAGCGCGTAGGCCCGTGGCGAGACCGAAGGATGTCCTGCGGTCCCTAGGAGCAGTTGAGGCATTGATGTATTTGTAATTTTCATAGAAGTCTGTTAGTCTATTTTCGAGTCTGTATTTTCATCTTTCTGTTGAAGTCTGTATTTTCATCTTTTCATCAAAGTTTGTTAGTGTCTTTTTGAGTGTGTTAGTTTTTTGAGTCGTTGTAATCAAAGCATTTTCTTTTATGAAAATTTGAAAATCCCAAAATATTTTATTACTTATTTTACATTTATTCCCAGAACTAGGCTCGGTCTGATTCATGCGGGGTCATGATACATAGGCATTCTCCATAGGATTCGACCATAACCAAAAGAAAAAAAAGAGTGATAAAAAAGAGGGAAAGAAAAAGAGAGAAAAACAAGAGGGAAAAAGAAAAGAAAAGAGAAAGAAAATAAGAAACTGTGGGAAAAGAGCAATGGCAAAACAAGAGAGAGAAGTATGAGAGAATAAAAACAAAGAAAGAGCAAATGCAAGAATGAAAAGAAAAAAGAGAGAAAAAGGGAAGTTGCAAATAAAAATAAGGAAAAGCCGGGATGACGCAAGCAACCGATCAAATGCATAATAGAAACGGTTAACTGCTTAGTGCATTCATTCCCTAAATGTGTGGTTGTCTATCTATTAAACCCTGAACGCTAACAAGTTTGTCGTTATCGTCAAGTAACAGGTAGGTGGTTAGTTTGTGTGGCATTCTAGCAACTCACCCATACAACACTCGTTCCAAGAACAAATTGATCATGGCCAGTCAGGAACTTGATGCGAGTGTCATCGATCCTTCAAGAGAGGTAGAAGAGTTGGATGTTAATTCGATGAAAGAAGAGATGTATAAGTTGAAGCAGCTGATGGCCGAAATGTACTAGGCCTGGGCAAAGGGGCAACCACCAGCCTACCCCGCCAACCCTGCCTTCATCCCGCTACTGGCTCAGTCTCAGGATCACCATGCCACTGATTCGTCCCCGAGCTTTCCCATCTACCAACACTACCAGAGCACAACTTCCCAAACACCACCCGCTCCACCACCCAAACCAGTTCTATACCCTCCTCCACCAGCCACTCCTATCTTCGTGGCGCTCCCTCCCGCTACACTACACAGATCCTCCAGCGAGTCTATGTTCCAAGCTCATGACAACCAGTACTACCCCCCAGAAGCCACTTTCAAAGCTCCGGAACCCTATTCCTACACTCCTTATTTTGATCTTCCTGTGGAAGCTGAGAAACCGTCCAAAAATCCTGATCAGGAGGAGATGTTCAGGAAAGTTAAAAGCTTAGAACAGTCATTCAGAGACATGTGGGGGTTGGGAGGTCAAGTAAGTGTGGCTTACAAAGATCTATGTCAATTTCCAGATGTGCAATTGCCGGCAGGGTTTAAGATGCCTAAGTTTGATTTGTATGATGGGCATGGTGATCCAGTGGTGCATTTGAGAGATTTCTGTAGCAAAATGAGGGGAGTTGGTGAGAAAGACGAGTTGCTAATGGCATATTTCAGTCAAAGTCTGAGTGGTTCGGCGCTGGAGTGGTACACTCCACAGGATCACGGAAGATGGTACACATGGGATGATCTAGACCAAGCATTTGCTTGTCACTTCCAGTACAATCTCGACATTATTCCGGATCGTCTGTCTTTGACGAAACTTGAGAAAAAGCACAATGAAAGTTTCAGGGAGTATGGTTTTAGGTGGAGAGAGCAGGTAGCAAGGGTTGACCCTCTAATGAAAGAAAGTGAAATAGTGGATTATTTTTTGCAGGCCTTAGAACTTACTTATTACGGTCATCTGGTATCAGCTATAGGCAAGTCCTTCAATAAAGTGGTAAAGATGGGCGGTATGGTAGAAAAAGGGCTCAAGACAAACAAAATCATGAGCTATTCGGCTATTAAGGCAACCACTCAGGCTATTCAAAGCGGAAATGGAGGAGTAATTAGAAAGAAGAAGAAAGAGGATGTGGCAACGATTGATTCAGGAGCTTGGTTCGGACCTAGGGGTTCGCCTCACCAATATAATCAGCCTCGTCCCCACCACCAAACCTACCCCCATACCCATATAGCCCACCACAACACTACTACCCACCACTAGACCCCTATTTTTCCGTCCACCATGCCCAAACATACAGCCAACCTCCAGCCCACACACAATGGCGTGTGCCAATCCCACAAAATACATACCCAACTCCACAAAATGCCTATCCACCCCCAAAGATCTTACTGAAACCCTCCTAGATCAGGTTTCCGGTCCAACCAAGAATTTAAGAATGAGAGATTGAAGAAGAAGAAAACCTTCACTCCATCAGGAGAATCCTATATCAGTTTATTCCACAGGTTGCGACAATTGGGTATGCTGAGTCCGATCGAGCCAAAACTGCCAAATCCTCCCTCGAGGAATCTTGATCACTCTGTGAATTACGAATATTATTCTAGTGCTCCGGGGTACGACACAGAGAAATGCTGGCAGTTGAAAATAGCTGTAACGACACGACCGGTCATTTTGAGCCTTTGCACTTTGATCGCCAGTTCTCGGGCATGACTTGCCCTGTGTAATGTATTATGACTAATGCAGATTGTTGGTTTTGGTTTTCAGAAAAATTTGGAATGAATTTGAAAGAACTGTCTCAGTTGAAAGCTTTGAATTTGAAAGGTTTGACCAAGAGTTGACTTATTGGTATATGAGCTTGGATCAGAATTTTTATGATTTGGTTAGCTTCGTTGATGATTTATGACTTAGGAGCGCGATCGGATTGCATTTTGGAAGTCCGTGGAAGGATTTGGCTCGAATTGGCAAAGTTAGTATTTTGGCGATTTTCGGTTGATAGGTGAGATTTTGATTCGAGGGTCGGAATGGAATTCCGAGAGTTGCTATAGCTTCGTTATGTCATTTATGACTTGTGTGCAAAATTCAGGTCATTCGGACAAGGTTTGATATACTTTTTGATCGAAAGCATAATTTGAGAGTTTTGGTATTCTTATACTTGAATCCAAGGTAAAATCTGTATTTTGATGTTGTTTTGAGCGTTCTAAAGATTGGAACAAGTTCGAATGGTGTTTTAGGATTGGTTGGTGCATCTTGTTGAGGTCCCGAGGGCCTTAGGTGGATTTCGTAAGGTTAACGGATCAATTCAGACTTGAAGAAAACTGCTGAAATTTCAGTTTCTGCCTTTTTTTCGCAGGTGCATGAACAGTGACCCGGCACCTGTTATGAACAGTAATCCCACACCTATTCTGAACAGTAATCCGCACCTGTTATGAACAGTAATCCCCGCACCTGTTATAAACAGTAATCCGCACCTGTTATGAACAGTAACCCCGCACTTGTTATGAACAGTAACCTCGTACCTGTTATGAACAATAATCCCGCACCTATAGTGAACAGTAATCCCGCACCTGCGTGAGCAGTACCCGTGAACAGTCGCATATGCGAAAACACTCGACAGTGTATAAATTGACTTGTCCGAGATTTTTACTCATTTTTGGAGCTATGGAGCTCGGATTGAAGCGATTGTTGAGGCGATTTTCACCATATGGATTGGGGTAAGTGTTCTATATCCAAAATTGATTATACTTAATGATTCCATGGTTATTTTCATCAAGGATTAGGGAATCAAATGGAAGAAATTGGAGAAAAATTGTAAACTTTTCAAAAATGAAAATTCTAGATTTGGAGGTCGATTCGTTATCGGAGTTTAGTAATTTTGGTATGGTTGGGCTCGTGGTTGAATGGGTTGTCAATTTTGTGAGTTTCGTCGGATTCCAAAACGTGGGCCCCACGGGCGAATTTTTAGTTCAATTTCAGATTTTTAATGGAAAATGTAGAATTTCATATGGAATTATTTTCTATAATATTTATTGACTGAATCGAATTGTTTATGAATAGATTTGAGATTTTCGGGCACGAATTCGCGAGGCAAAGGCTTGTTGAAATTTTGAATTGGTTGCAAAGCGAGGTAAGTGTTTTGTCTAACCTTAGCTTGAGGGATTAGGAGTTGTGTCCTATTTGCTATGTGTTATTTGTTGAGTACGACGTATAGGCATGGTGACGAGTATCTATACGTTGGCGTCAAGCATGCCCGTGAGTCTTAAAGTAAAATTGTTGTATTCTAAATAAATGTTACGAATGCCTAAGNTCAAGGGGCTTATTATGATTTCTGGACTGAGCATGGATCGGGATGTGCGCCGCAGCAATGATTTGAAACAGTGGTAACAATGACACTGTATGATGTGACTTGAAACAGTGGTAACAATGGCATTGTGTAATATAAATTGGTCAGGTAACAATGACTGACCAGGACTTGATTGATGCCACGAGATGGCTTGTTATTGCACTTGGGCTGTAGGAGCCCCTCCGGAGTCTGTACACACCCCCAGTGAGCGCCGTCGACGATAAATAAATTTGGATGGCTCGGGTTGCACGCCGCAGTGGGTACCAGAGGGTACCGTCATATGCGTTACATTGCACTCATGCATTTATTCTTTATCTGCATTATCTGCTATAACAATTATGTGCTCTTGTCTCATTGACTGGTTGCTTTATAATGTTCTGAGTCTGAGGGGCTGATACTGTTATGAGATACTGAGCCCGAGGGGCAGATTTCTACTTGTTGTTTTGATATTGAGCCCGAGGGGCAGATTTCTACTCGTCATTTTACTGCCAAATTACCTGTTTTACTGGTTTAAAAGAAATTTCACATGATGTTTCACTGAATTGTTATTTTAAATAATTTCACTGCTTCTGTATAGAATGTTGTGTGCCTTAACGTGTTTTCTTACCTTCAGTCATTATTAATATTTATTACTCACTGGGTCGGAGTAGTCACATTACTCCCTGCACCATGTGTGCAGGTACAGGTATTCCTAAAGTATAGAGCGAGTTTTCTGCTGTTCAGTTTTCATCGGAGTTATCGAGGTAGCTGCATGGCGTTTGCAGACCCGTTTTCTCCCTTATCTCGTGTCATTTATGATATCTTCAGACTTTGTTCCTACTTCCATACTTTGTAGAATTTTTAGTAAACTCTGTAGTAGCTCATGACTTGTGACACCTCGGTTAGGGCTGAGTTGGGTTGGATTTTCCTTATTTTATCTATATTTTTTGCTATTGGATATTATTAAACCATGTTTATACTATAATTGTCTTAAAAGGATGAATTGGGTTGAATGGCTGTGTTACAACCCATATCCACATGTGTTAGTTCATGCCATATATTAGTTAACATAAATCCAA